GCTATAAACATTGATGTGGCTGTGTCCCTGTAGTATGCTGTTTTTAAGTCCTTTGGGTATAAACCGAGGAGTGAGACAGCTGGGTCAAATGGTGGTTCCATTCCCAATTTTCCAAGGAATGTCCATACTGCTTTCCAGATTGGTTGCACCAATTTTCAGCCCCACCAGCAATGTATGAGTGTGCTTTTTCCCCCACATCCTCACCAACACTTATTGTTTGTATTTGTAATAGCTGCCATTCTGACTGGAGTGAGATGAAATCGTAGAATGTTTTGATTTGCATTTTTTTAATTGCTAGAGATGTTGAACATTTTTTCTGTATTTGTTGATTGATTGTATATCCTCTTCTGAGAAGTGTCTGATTATTTCCTTGGCCCATTTATTGACTGGGTTATTTGGGAATCAACGAAAGAGGTGAAAGACCTCTACAGTGAAAACTACAGGACCTTAAATAAAGAAATCAAAGAAGATCTTAGAAGATGGAAAGATCTACCTTGTTCTTGGATAGGCAGAATTAATATTGTCAAAAGGACCATACTACCAAAAGCACTATACACTTCAGTATCTCAAAACAACTAATAAAGTATGAGGTACACGGTGTTTAGTGTTACCATCCAGTAGCTAAATACGAGAGCTGTTACAATGGCATCACTGATCACAAAAACTAGAAGGTACAAATTTGCTGCAGAGAAAACCTCTGGATCCATTTAAAACTTGGGGAGTATTTAAAGAAGAATGTGCCCACAGGCAACGACTGCAGATAATGAATGTGCATTTACATGCCACTTTATAAAGCAACATCTTTCACTGAGATCACTGGAATTTTCTCTTAAGTTAATTTTGCTTGTTTTCAAGTTCAAGTTCATTGCACATATTCAGAAAGGGGAGTGGACCCACCTTACCTCTACTACCCCAAGCCAGAGGTTCTGTGTGCACCCATCATCCAGCGAGATGCTGTGTAAGCAGAGTTCACATGGGCAGGGTGGCCAGGGTCAGGCGTGGGCTGCTGCTTGTGGCGCTGCCCGAACCCGTCGGATTTATTCAAATCAAAACACCATGAAAACACTTTCCAGTAACTCCTCCCAGAGTACCTCAGCTGCCCCAGTCCAGATAAAATCACCACCAAGGCAGGTGGCTGTGCCCTGTGGTCAACAGTTTCCATGAGACTTTATTTCCCTTGTGCATCTCTACTATTAGACCAAGAAGCATCTCCACTTCCCCACTTTCAAACTCAATTCAAATGGCATCTAAAAATCCAGCGTGGCAAGGGAAAAACAGAGCTTCATCAAATCTTCTAATTCCACCCCTTATTTTACCAAAGCAGAAAATGTTGAGAATCCTAAATGTGATTTGAAGAAGACGTGAAGGGTTTGACCGGAAGATGAGTGCCAATATTAAATCTAGAGTTTCCTGTAGAATATTCAATATTAGTTTAGAAATAATTTCCTTAAATGTGGCTTAAGAAATATGGACACTTAAAACTTTACCTTGAAACTAAAATTTACCTCATCTAGAGATAAAGGGTGGGATGTGGAATGGAGATTCAGTTTTCATTTGGTTCATTGAACCTATAAGGTCATAAAATAGTAATCTAAAAGGCTTCTATGATTCTACTTATATATAAATTAGAAGGGATTACTGTAAACCCTCAGTGTCCTGGTTCTGCAGTACTAATTTAATGCTAATATACTCTAGATAACATTTTACATTTTCACTTATCACTGTTCTCTGGGGAACTGGAGTCTCTCTGAGGCATTGGATTTGACATTGCATTTGATTTTTTTATGTCACAATTGACATGTTCCAGGGCAATGATGGATTGGAATCTATTCCAAATCCAAGAATAATGACTAACTCTTGCTTGTCTACATATAAAGTTCAACAACAGACATTTCCCAGTTCCTATTCTCACTCAACGAGAGCGTTCGATTTATTGAGCTCAACTGAATTTAAAGAGAATCACGTTAACTTTAATTTTAAAATGATGAGTTTTATTTCTTTGTTTGTTGAAAATTTTTTAAAATTAAAAAAAAAATCTGCTTTGAAGGCAAAATTGGTAAATCTTAAAATAAAAAAAGACAAATACAATATATAAAGGAGCTACAACTATAAATCAAGGACTTGAGAAGTGGCCTGGAACTTAACTTGCATTAAATTTACAAAAACTTGTATGCATTTTGTAAATATATTTTTAATAAAAATGTTATAAATCAGAATAACCTTATTTAGAATATTTTGTTAAAAGTCAGTGTTTTTATATAGAAAGAACCTGGTCCCAAGCCTCCTGTGAGCTTGGTTCTGGAAAGTAAATCGTTTACAAATGCCTTGAGACTCAAGAACCTATTAAAAAAAAAATCAGCTTTCCCTGAAGTCTTTGCTGGCATGGCCACACATGGATGCTGAGATGTTCAAGTGTCTGATACAGCTGCAGTGGTCCTGATACTCCGAGAAATTTTCGCATCTTTTTAAATCTTTCATAAAACACACTGGCTCAGCACACCTGAAACTCCATGTGTTTAAATGAACACTCCCTGTGCTTCACACCTGAGTGCTGCACATCTATTCCACCTGTGTATCATGTTAGTATATGTATGCTCTGGTTTATAGTAAATTCTCATGTTATGGAATTGATATTTACTGAATATAGACCGTAAATAAAGAGTGATAAATAGCTAAGAGTTCTAAAAAACAGTGAAAGCAGTAGTCAATAGCCAATTGGCTTTATTACTAAAAGCACTTTGTAAACAGTTAAATGATGCCAGTGTATGTATGTACCACAGCTACTTGGTTCCCAAAATAGAAAATCAGTTTAGATATTTTCTGAAATTGGATTACTGTAATGCAATTCTTAGACCCAAGGAAAGCCTCAGGATTTCATCCTATCCAAAGTAAAACCCATTGACTTTATTTTGAATGCTGCCACACATTCAATTAAAATGTTTAACAATAATGATAAACTTATTTGCGTTTGCATTCATAATGTAAATAAATATTTTGGTGAAGCACACATCAAGTAAAAACAATGCTCTTTCTGAGAGAAAGAGCCTATGGAGTATACTCAGAATTGGTTAGGTACACACAAAAGCCATTACATACAAAAACGCTACTAAAATAGAAGCTATAGTTGTCAAATTTTGAGAGAGGAGAGAGAGAGAGAGAGAGAGAACACCCCCCTAAACTACCAAACGTTTTTGATAAGGCTAATGCTGAATTTTGTAAAATCTTGGCATGATGATGAGATTTATCTCTTTGTTGACCATAATCAATCCAATATTAAAACATTTTAAAGTTTCAAATTGTTTTCAATAAACCTAAGTGTCTTACAATGAATTGAATGTTTACTTACTCATTTAGTGACAAGTATTCTATAATTGATGGATTTTCATTTAAAATCAGTTGGAAATCTTTAAGGTAGTTTTCAATACATGGCAATCTCTAATGGGCAGCTTCTGAAGCTTTTGGAAAAATGCCACCAGTTGAAAAAAATTAAACAAACAAACAAACAAAAGCTTACAAATAAGCAAATGTTGAAATATATCAAGGGGAAGGTGAACCTAAACAAATAAAGGAATGATAACTCAAACAGTAAACAGTATAGGAGATTTGATCTGGAAACTTGGTAATTGAGTTTGGAGTATCTCAACATCTAGGAAAGCTGTTTGGATGGGAATTCTATTTGTAATTATTCTTTGCTGGAATGACATAATTCAGAAGACCTATAATTTTTCAGCATCTAAATTTTGCAAAAGTTAAACAGAATAACAGAAAATATTTCTGGTAAATTTTATTTTTTAAAAAACACTTGTCCAAAAGATTTACTCTGAATGGAAGCTGAAAATAGTATTCATGAATTAGTTATTTAATTTAAAAATAGAACTGAAAATGTCCTTCATCTAACATAAATTGCTTTGGATTTTACCATTACCACAGTATCTGTAAAACAGGATATTTTCTCAGTATTTTTTTGAGATTTTAAATATTTTAAAATATATATTTTTTTGTCCAAAGAAAAGTCAACCCATGTCAAGAATTTCACATTCATTAATCATAAATTATAACTTTTTAAAGGTCTTGGGAATTTTATAAAAAGGTCACAAAATAATTAAAATACACTGGAAAATAATATTCTTCAGAAATATTAGTGGCATAGTATTAGAGTTTAAAATGGCTGAGAATGAACAGGCAGAGCACAGAGAATTTTGAGGCAGTGAAACTGCTTTCTTTGAGTAGATACAAGTCATGGCGGATATGTGTCATTGTTCATTCGCCCACACCCATAGAATGTACAACGCCAAGAGAACCCTCGTGTACATTCTGGACTTGGGTGAAATGACACTCAATGCACATCAACCAATTGCAACAAACCCACCACTCTGAGATGGGATGTTGATAACAGAGAAGGCTGTGCAGAGATCAGAGGAGGGACCATGTGGGAAAATCTCTGTCCCTGACACTCTATCTTGCTGTGAACCTAAAAATGCACTAAAAAAAAAAAAAAAAAAAAAAAAAACCTACTAAAAATATTAAAGCACAAAAACAAAGTTGCTAAAGGAACAATGACCTAATAAATTTATTTGCAGAAATGCAAGTCAGAAAATTTTTATGATCAGTCAAGATATCACATTAGTAAAATATTATCATTTAAAAATAAATTTTTAAGTTGTAGTTGGACACAATACCTTTATTTTATTTATTTATTTTTATGCGGTGCTGAGGATAAATCTGGTGCCTCACCATGTGCTAGGTGAGCGCTCTACCATTGAGCCCCAGCCCCAGCCGCTCATTTCTTATATTATATAAAATTCTGACACCAAATTAACTTTCTAAGCTTGCTTTGCTACTTTTGTATCACAATTTCACATATTATGTTTTACAAGCAATAAAATACTTTTAAATGAAGAAATGCCTAAGAAACTAAAGAACAAGAGAAGTTGTTCTGATTGCTATTTTTAATAGTCATACAATCAGTATATAAACATTATAATTTTTTGCACCAATATACAAGGATATGTGTTGAGTTTATTAGAAATAATTTTTAGAAATATTTTAAAAGAATAATAGCTCTTAGTACTCCACCAATATAAAAAAACCTTTTTCGGTCAACAGATATTTCAGAAACATATAACAAATTATTTTATCACTCTTTTCTCCTCTCAGAAGTATGCTGTTAACCTATTTTTTAAGAATAGTCAAAAGAATCCTGTGTGTTCTGAAAACAGTGGAAAAAAAGGGGTCACACAATGTTTTGAGCATGAAAATTTGTGTGTGTGTTTTGGGGATCAAGCCCAGGGCCTCAGCATGCTAAGCACATGCTCTGCCACTAAGCTACACCCTTGACCCCAGTCACGCAATTTCCAAAGGGAGACGCTTGAACAGAGGCATCTCATTTAGAGTCCCCAGCATGTGAAAAAGTCAACTCTACTGACCCAGTTCCTTTGACTGTAAAAGGAAAGTTTGCAAAAGTGGATCCCATGCAGCAGTCTATGGAAATCACCTGGGAGCTTTTAACACTGAACCCAAATTTCTGAGTGAAACCCAGAGTCCTTATTTTGAAAGGCTCTCCAGAAGATTGATGGGGAACCCACGAGCCTACTGAACCAGGTGACTGCTAAACTCTCTTGGCGACTCTCTGACTCCACAAGCTCAGCTCTCTGGGGTGCTTTAGAGCTGGGGTCCAGCTCTCCTGCAGCACCTTCTCTGTGTGAGACTGCAGGCTGTGCTCCCCTGCGTGGTGAGAGGAGATGGTTTTTGTGGACTTACCTGTAGCCCTCTCTCTTTTCCTAATGAAGCTGCCACTCACCCAAGTCTTCCTTGGGGAGGAAAATGTGCCCAGATTTCTCGGCTGTAGAAGATGGAAAACTGTCTGGGACCTCCTGCCCACCATGGTGACCCCTCTCACAGGAAGTCCTGAGTTTCTCATTTGCAAAGTGAGGATCAAGCGTGAGACATTTCCATCACTAGGGACGGTCTGTTTGTAGCATGCAGATGTGTGTTCATTTTTCCCTCTTTCCCCAACCCTTAAACAGTTCTTGTACTTTTTCCTCCTGTTAAGCGAGGCTTTATGGGCTTGATCTAGAGAAGTATGAAAACACAGAAAAGGATAAAAGAAAATTAACTAGAAATTATCTAAAGTATCAACTTGAAGAAAAAATTAACAATCGAACACTTTGATATAACTCTTGTTTTTTTTTCTTAAAACAGAAGTGGAATTATATTGCATATACAGCTTTAATATCTTAAAAATTAATATTGTGAACCTCACCAAGGGGTGTTTCTTAAACTGTTCTATCTAGAACTACTTTTATTGGAGACTAAGATCTCAAAGTTGATTTTTTTTTTTTTTTTTTTGGTCCTGGTGATTAAACCCAGGGGTGCTTGACCACTAAGCTACAACCCCAGTCATTTTAATTTTTATTTAGTTAGTTATTTAGTTTTGGTACCGGGGATTGAACTCAGGGGCACTCGACCACTGAACCATGTCCTCAGCTCTATTTTGTATTTTATTTAGAGTCAGGGTCTCACTGAGTGGCTTAGTGCCTCACCATTGCTGAGGCTGGCTTTGAACTAGTGATCCTCCTGCCTCAGCCTCCCGAGTTGCTGGGATCACAGATGTGCACCACCATGTCCAGCTTGTTTTTGTTTGTTTTGTTTTATTTTTACAGCAGAGGGAGAATTGAGATGTCTTATTAAAATATGCTGACTCCCATCATATGCCTTATTTATGTAAGCAGCTTCCCTAAAGTCAAGACTCCCCTCTAACAGGACACAGATATTTATGCCCCACAGCACACACATGGTTGAGATAAACATCTCTTTCTTCCTTCTGTGAGGCACACATGTCAAACTCTGGCTGAGATGTGTCAGCTGTCTTGAGGGGAAAGATGAGCACATGAAGTTTCACTGATACCTTTTCATGAACCCAGAGTCAAAACAAAGAGCAACCTTCCATGTCACATTGAACTTGGGAAGAAAGAGTAAATAAAATATACCCTGCTTTGAACAAAAGTTGGTTGGTTCCAGAAGACTCTTCTTGTAGCTAAAGATTGGCTTCAGGGTTCACTCAAAAACTGAATATCAGGTTTCCTAGGTTTGAGCATCTCCACTGCAATAACTCCAGCTCGTGAACACCAATATCATGTTGAAAAACAGCACACCTACAACCGGCATTGCACAAAAAATCAATTTTTTTTTTTTTGAGTGCACTGCTGGCTAATTGAGCTCAGTCATTAAATTGCAAGTGAGACACTGGGGAGAATATTTCCGAGGGCCACATAGCAACAGAACACAGAGAACTGGGTGATTTAATTATTTCTCACATTTCTCTTTCCTTTGTAGTTAACTAACAAACATTGCTTTCTTCACCTTATCTCTTTGTTGAGGTCATATCAGCAATTATCTTCCCTCCAGTTTATGTAAAACTACCTGAATTATTCATCACAGGAAAACTTTATCACCTTTCTTCCATATCCTATCACCCAAGAATAATCAGCAATGAATTATTTCAAACACACAGAAAGAGAAGTCAACAAAACCACCCAGAATTCTCAAAGGTTAACCTTCTACCATATGTGCTTAGTATATTTTTTAATAAAACTCTTGAGTCATAGCTGTGTATTCTTGTGTGCAGGTGTTTTCTATATTTCTCGGAGGTGTTTGCATATCTGTCAGCTGTCTGGTCTTTATTGTTCCAATATGGCCCCTCCGCAGGAGGGCATGAGACCAAGGGCTGATGTGGCTGTAGCATGGCTTTGAAGCCACAGATCTGAGTTCTAATCCCTGCCTACCTCGTGGGCAAATGTGGGCAAGTGTCTGAGCCTAGCTTCTCACTTACAAAGCAGGGATAACAATACCTACCTTATTGAGAGGCTGTGAACAAGCAGAGTAGACCTATCTCACACCTGGAGAGTGGTTTCTGTCAGAGCTCGGGTCTGTCTTACATGCGGAACAGCCCTCATAAAGCCTGGGTCCATCTCCCTGCAGAACTGTATGTGCTGGGAGCCAGTCACTCACCATCCAGAAAATGAATGACTCCTTATCTGTGGATTTACCAGCACATGCCGTTTTTCATCTGTGAGGCCAGATTGAGTGCAGTGAAATGGCAGTCTGCTTTTTTTTTTTTTTTTTTAACATCTGGAGGTGACCTTTCTTCATGTCTCAGATTCCAAAAACACGATAGAATTTTACAGTTTTATAGCACTTTATGTAAAGTCAAATGAACCCATGAGATAAGAGAGCAGCGGGTCTTCACCATGAAGCAAGCCCCTTGATGAATGTGGACATTATTCCACTGCCTTCATTTCTGTGAGCATCTTCTCTTCCTATCCTTATGTCCTGTATTGTCATGAAAGCAAATTGCTTTTAAAAGATCACATTACCTCAGAGGTTCTCAACAGAGTCTGGGCTTCAAAACTCACCTGGGGTGTTGAACACACACACACACACACACACACACACACACACACACACACACAAGGTCCCATCCAGGACATTCTGAGACTCTTTGGGAGTGATGGAATGCACAGGATGAAGGTGGGAGGGGTTGATGGAGAGGAGGTTATGGATCCAGGGTTGAGAAGTGCTGGGTGAACCACTTGGAATGGTGTCTACCCAAAAGACAGTTGAAGATTTTAGAATTAATCAGGAAGTCACTGGAAAAAAAAAATTCTTTTTTGCAGGCATGATGCTGCTATTCCAAGTTGTCTGCTGCAAATGATGTCTTCCATAGGAATGGAGCATAGGATGATCGGCTTAAGCACTTAGTAAATCAAAACACATGTCCATAGCTGGAACCAGAGCGTGAGGACCATCTGACCGGATTCCACTGCAATGAGTCGTGTGACACCATGCTGAAGTAACTGTAAATAATCACCCAAAGAAAGCTACATGAAGGATAGCCAAGAAACAAAAAACCATCGGATTGAACTCAGTTTTCTGAAGAATCGTATAATGTGCACACTCTATAGTTTTGTGAACAAACAGCACCAAATGTTAGACATTGGACTCAGAGGACCTCAACACGAAGCCCACGCTTCCCTTGACCAGAGCTTCCGATTCTTTCCTTCCCTTCTTCATCCCCAGTCGCTATTTCCTCTTCAGGTGAGGGGCAGGGAGGAGCTTTTTGACTGGTCTTGAAGCCACAATGCATCTAAAGCTGGAGACCTTTCAAAAATCTTGCTCCTCTTTATTTACTAGTTTCCATGGCAAGAGGAAAACAAAAGGCAACTGTGCTTAAAAGTAACAGCCATAAAAGGAGCCACAGAACTCAAAGCTGGGTCAAGTTACACCGCCCTGGGTGGACAATGCTGTGGACCTTTCCCCCATCCATGGGGTGGGGGGGACTCTTAGCTCTGCCTCTGCCAAGAGCCAAACTGAGACCAAGAATCTACTCTTAGAAGGTGCTAAATTTTGCATTTTCTTTTAGACTTCTGCTGCCATTAATTAGTTAGTTTCTCTTTCAGTTGGCCTCCAGGTATCAGACAGTGAAATCTCTGGGGTTTTCTGAGCCACATAATTCAAAGTAATCAGGAACCAGTGCAGGTCAGAATGCTGGCTGATGCCTTCTTTACCAAACAGGAAACTGGAATTTGGGTCCCTGAGAGATTAAGCCGGTTCTATCCCCAAGGACAGAGTCAGCAGACACAATGCCCTAGACCCTCTCTGGTGTCTGTGGCGGGCAACTTTGGAGCTGGGTCCCCCTCCCTCTGAGACATCAGGGACACCACCTTGAACTTGTAACATAGTCACATACTCCCCCAGGGCAGCCTTGGTCCTTACTCTGCTCACCTGTGACTTACATTCCAGAGTATCTTGGCCCCTGTGGATCTAGCATTTCACTTTCCTTTTTCTGTAGATGCCCCAAGTACCAAGTGGTCAGTCTCCACAACTGCCAACCCCAAGACAGGATTTCCAGGATTAACCTCTGTTGGCTCTCCTCAGAAGACAGTGAAGAAATGGAGATAGAAAGAAATTTGAAAGCAGTCGTTTCTAATAATTTTTTTTTTTTCCTAAGAGGGGAATTTCCCTCAGTGGATTTACTTTGAGCAAAAATGGTATCTGTGTTGGACTTCCCTCTGCTGGTATTTTTTCATTTAACTTTTTATAGTAGGTAGGTTTCCCTCTACCTAAAAACTAAGGGGGAAACCCCAGTTCTTTGGTTTGCTCACATCCCACCATGCTTCTTTAGGCTTTCCATTTTCATATCAAGCCTCATCTTCAGCTACCACATCCTGGTTTGGAGGAGAATGGGGACAGGTCGATTAGGAGGTGCCCTGACCTCAAGGCAGGAGAACTCCCAGGTGCCTCGTCCCTACAGCCATAGGCTGTTTGACATGGTGGAAGGAAACACCACTTCTTTCCCAATCTGTCTGGGCTCAGTGAAATATAAAGAACAAATTGATTAGTTCACAAAATCTGGTAACTCTCTGTCCCCGAGAACCCAAGAGATAAGCAGTATGAGGTTATTTTCAGCCTTTAGGGGCATGAAGAGAAGTTCTGGATGTAACAAAAATAAAGGAATGAGGTCCCTGGTCCTTTGACCATCTAAAGTCAAGAGTTGCCACAAGAAAAGCTCAAACCTTTGGGATGGTTTTGTCCTAAGGATGGTGTTTAGTTCTTTTCTTCTTGTCAGGGCAGTTCATACTGTGTCTTGTCCCAGCCTTTGCATTGAGGTTAAATGACACTTCAATGAACTTTGACTGTCGTTTAAGGAGGCACCACAACTGGGGAAGGAGGGAAAAAGAGCAAGCAATACACACCTGTAATCCCAGAGACTTGGGAGGCTGAGGCAGGAGGATGGCAAGTTCTGAGCCTCGGGAATTCTGCAAGGACCTGTCTCAAGACAAAAAAAGATAAAAGGGCTAAAGGATATAACTCAGTGATAAAGTACCCCTAGGTTCAATCTCTAGTACCAAAAAAAAAAAAAAAAAAAGCCATGATGCTTATTTTGACTAATAAGGACAGTCATGATTGGGGGGAAGGGATGGTAGGAATTTTGTACAGATAATTTTGTGAGACACATATTTTACACAGTATTTTACAGGTATCACTTTTATTGCCTGGGTGTCGAAACCAACCAACTTCTTTACTCTGCTGCTGTCACATTGAATGTATATGAGCCTTTTATTTTACCTTTTTATTTTTACATTTGTTTTAAGCTCCAGCTGATAAATCCATGCCCTGCTCCAAATCTCTCTCCCATTCTTCCTAGGCAGCCTCCTTAAATCACTATCCACCTATCACCTACCACCAAAGTCAAGTTCCATGGCCCTTGAAATATGGGAGCTCTCATTGATTTGCTCTCTAAAATTTTGCCCTCTGAGATTCTTCCCTTCTGAATTCATGCACTTAGAATTTGGTAAGATATAAACTACAACGTCTTCTATTTTATGTCCAGCCAGAAAGCCAAGCAAACCAGACTAGTTAATCTAGAAAAAGGCCAATGTAGTCTGATCATCTCATCGCCCAGAGAACCATGAACCTCTCAGAAAAGGTGCCACAGATGAGAGGGAGCCCATGTGCTAGTCTTGCTGGCTTCCTAATAGCCATATGACTTTGAGAAAAGACTCTTTGCTCTGGACTTGAGTTTTCTTCTCTCCTGCATAAAAAATGAGAAGCTGGCTGGCTCATCAGCGCTGTCTCTTCCAGCTACGTTCTCTACGCTGCGAAGTTAAAGATCTGAGAACTTGTACTTGCCAAAGGGGCTTAAAAATATTAGTACCTAACACTTTAAGCACTTTATACGTATTAACTCATTTAATCCTCTTAATAGCCCTATGAGGTAAAAATTATAATTGTGACCCCTATATTTTTAAATGACAAAAAATAAGGCACGGAGAGGGAGAGAGACCTGTGTCTTACAGTATTGTGGAACTGAGGTGTGTGCTTTTAATCACCATGTGTATGGGAGGATAAGCAGATCGGAGGATTAAGCTCCCTTGACATTTGCATGCTTAGAAGGTAGAAAGGGAGTGTGAGAATCAGTTCATCTGTCAATCAACAGCATTTCAGAGAAGCAAAACCAGGGCTAGTGTGTGCCCTCTCTGCTTCTTGCTGGATTCTCTTGCATTATTTAGTTCTCAACATTACTATAGAAAGACACATGCACTTCATGGAAATGGTATAAATTAGGATGCTTCTGGCAGCAAAGCCTAGACTCACAAAGACAAAACGATCAGCTTGGGATCTCTTTGCCACCTACTGACCCACCTGCCAATGTATTGAAGTGGGAAATACTAAAATGCTATTGGATGAGAGACTAGAGGCCAGGCAGACAGAGTGACTCTTGAGACAAACTTGGAGACATAAGCTGTATTCAGGGGTCTTTCAAATAGCCACTGAGGTTCACTGCCTTATTCTGATCTCCAACATGAGACTCCTGGGAAGCAAGTGCCTTTCACTGAGCCTGACCGTAGCAGAGCAGGAGCTTTTCAGAAGGAAAGACAGCATGCTTAGGCATTTCAAAACAGGTGCACTAAGAACCCTCAAATCAAACAAGACTACTGGGAAAGTTACTCCTCAGTCTACCACTGCAGGAAGGCAGAATTAGAACTCGTAGTTCTGTTCTAAGTTCATTGATTCCAAGTTCTCTTCCTGATTCTTACATTCCATAAAAGAGCTTTACAAAATTATTCAATATCATTCAGTTCTTTTCCCTTCAGTTTTTTTTTCTCCCATCAGTAATCCTTTGGGAGCAGGGTGGAGTTGCTGGGTACAATGTCATATAATTGGTCCTCATATGACTCGCATACCTACAAGTGAACACCACCTTTTGGGGGAGAAGTCAACAAAACAGTACCTTTTGATAGGACTCTAGGTTGCTAGTGGTCCCTGATACATACTACCTGAAACTTGGAAAAAAAAATTCTATATATTGGTACTCTTCACCAAATGCTTCATGGCATATATGCTATTATTGTGCTGAATGAAATACATTTTTCCCCTTGAGCTGAAAGCACCCCCTATTAAGCTACAGATCTGTTGCTACTGGGCCATTGATTTACCCACTGTACTATGTAACCAAGGAGAGCTATGAATCATCTTTCCCAACCCTTCAGCTTGAAAAAACAAGATCATTTTTGATACAATCTCTTCTTTATCTAGATTTCTATGTGCTAAATCCTGATGCATTCTGAGGGCATTATTTCTTACTGAAGACAGCCTGCCCTCAGTGTTTGTTTAATGATAATTTTTCTTTTGAGCTCTTCCTGTCTGCTTGCTCCCTTTCAATGCTTTGTATTCATAGCGATCCCTGAGTCACATGTGGTTAGATTTCTAGCCTTCAGAAATCACCGGCAGGAGCATATTTTTCCGCCTTTCTTCTCTTCCATGGGTCACTAAACACTCTTAAAATTGATTTCTTTATGAGTGGAGCTCAGAGATAATCTTCCCATCTTCTTCTTATTCATTAATTTTCACGTCCAAGTAATGCCACAGATTTCATTCATACATATTTACTGTATGCTGGGGATCCGAGATGAAGAATCATGATGTGTTCTCAGAAGCTTACAGTAGTGAATGAGATAAGAAAGGTCATGATTAAACAAAGTTGGAAGCGCTCTAAGGAAAAGTAAACAGGGCATTTGCAAATAGGCAGAGCAGAGCAGCGATTGACAGAATCTGGCAGATCCCAGAAAAACCCATTCAAGAGCCAAGAGGAGGTTATGCTTTGAGGTAGCAGTCATGGAGGGGGTGCACCCAAAAAATGGATGGTTGATGTGGATGTAGCAAAGGGGCATCATTAAAGGGGAGGCTGGGAAGGGTGATGGTAAGAGCATGAAGGGCTTTGTCCCTTGAGCAAAGAAATTTGAACTTAATCTTAAAGTAGAAAGGTGTTACCAAAGGGGAGAGACACCAGAATTGTAATATAGCACAATATAGCAGGACAAAAATCCCTGCTAAATTCATAAAAGTTGGTATGATTTTGTGTGTTCACTTCATCTGACATTGCTTCTTGGTCCCAGTGACAGCATTCTAGTACAGTAGCACAGGGAGACCAGTCCAGGCTTAGTGCCAAATCCCAGAGCCAGTCTACCTTTCCAGAAGCTGCAGTGATGACCTTCTTTAAGTTCTTATAGAGCTTCTGGTCTGCAGGAGGTCAGAGAGGAGTGATCAACCTGGAACAGGATCTGTGCACGGGGTCATGACGTGAGGGACCCAGAGAAAGAGAACAGTGCAAAGGACCTTTAGGGAAGGTAACGTGTGAGGAGGCGACACACAAGTCACGACCAGTAGAGGAAGCAAGGGGCCGGTCGGAGAGGAACAAGGGATCAGAAATGCCAGGGGTTTCCTTTGTTCCATGGAAACATTGTTGCACAGAATATTACTGCCATTTCCAAGTTGGAGAAACTAAGGAACAAACAAACAAATTTAATTGAATAAGGGAGAAAGAGAGGAGGTGGCACATTAATGAAATAAACAACTCCTTTGTTTCCAATCTCTTTTCCATGCCCAAGAGCAGCCAGTCTTATAAAGTCAGACATTTCTCCTTTGAAATCAGGCATTCTCTCAAGCAAGGTTTCAAATGGAAATGTCCTAAACCTCAAGTAATGCCCTGATCATCTCCTATTGTCACTTCGAACTGTAGCATGGCTCATGTGAACCTAAGTACTTAGCTCTCATTCTAGGACTTGGAACCTGCTCAAGCAAACAATTGCATTCCTAGTGATCCCTGAAAAAGTCTTCTTATTTGTTCCTCTGGTCCTTGACCTGTTCATTTTTCATTAGAAATTCGGGGTCAAGTTAATAAATAAATATACTAGAATTTCCTGACTGCATGGTACCTTTGGTTTATCTGATTTCATGGCACATTTGCTTCCTGGTTTCTCAACAACCTGTAATCTTTTCCCTCACAAAAATCGTGTATGATGGACTTTTCAGGCAAGTTTAAAACTTTCACTTAAGCTAAGGTGCTTGAGTGACTTTTTATTGGTGACTTCACTGGCTAGGATATATTACAGGGATTACCAAAGCAGTTTCAAAATGACTGGCTCAGTCTTGTGTTGCCCAAGTGACTTTCAGCCCAGCCCCCAAAAAAAAGTCTTCATGTTGTTAACTGTCCTGAACACACCCTCATGCTAGTGTATAACTCCTCAGTCCTTCCCTTTGGGTCACATTTCCTATTTTATAGTCGAAGTAAGTTGTGGATGCTGTACAATTAATATAGATTTAATGTAATATGTACAATTCTGCAAACACGCACTAATGAGGATTTTGTAAGTAACATTTAAAATTATCTGAGGAGGATTTTCAAAGAAACTTTCTATGAATCTGTTTATAATGCAAAAGCCCTTTGAAAAAAATAACATCTCTCCCTAAACCATGTGTAATAATATCATGTATCAATTTCACACAACTGTGGAGGTCACCATTGTTTTTTGTTCATTGAGCAAGCTCCACACCAACACAGGAGTCAACCATGCTTCGCCCTTAAGCTTTCCTAAATAATATTTGAAAATGTGGGCCACTGAGACAGAAACTTCCCCCATGAGTCAGTAAATAAGCCCAGCAAAAGATCTCATGGTTCCAACTAACTAGACCACAGCCTTTTATATTCAGTTCTGCTTTCTCAGTAGTCTCTGTGTCTAATTTCTAGTTAGGAACTGAGAAATTGGGTTAATTTCTACTTCCGTAAGACTAGCTAAGACATCTCATGTTAACAATGGTAGAAAAGCAGCAGAATCCCAGGACCTGGGTACTCTTTCCCACTTTCTCTCCTCCACCCCCAGACTCCATGAGGTCCTAAGGGAGTAGAGAACAAGACCAGGCAAAG